TTTATTATTTTTATTTTATGTGTATGAGTGTATTGCCTGCATGTATGTGAGTGCACCCGTGTCGTGCAATGCCGGTGGAGGACAGAAGAGGGCGTCAGATTCCCTGGAACTGGAGTTACAGAGTTGTTAGCCGCCATGTGGGTGCCGGGAATTGAACCCGGGTCCTCCAGAAGAGCAGCCGGTGCTCTTAACCGCTGAGCCATCTCTCCAGCCCTGCAAACCTCTATTTTACATGGCAGCGTCTTAGGCCCAGTCTAAGGCTTGGGTCACATGTCACCTGCCTCTTCCCAGCACCTCTCCCTCTCCTTCCTCCTGAACCCAAGTTCAGGATCACCACGTGCCAATGACACACTAGAACTGGGAACAGAAGCTGGCTGACTCTGGACTGTGTCTCCTCCTGAAAGCCACCCTAAAACCACACTGACATCAAACGGTTCTTGGGGCACTTTGGCATCTACTCACTTGTACAGCTGCTGCTTCTCTGCACTCTGGAATGCTGGGAGTCCCATGGCTGCAACCTTGCTGCACGGAGAGGTCCCGACGTCTGCCTGAGGACAGCTAAGGGTTTGTGTGGGGCTCTCCCCAGCATCGTGGCCCTGAGCATCTTGGGGCTGGTTCCAGTGGGGTCTCCTTGTTTTTGGTCAGGGCAACTGTGGAATGGGGTGCACCTATCTTTTTCAGGAACTCATGGAAACGTCTAAGACTAGTGGTTAAATTTCAAACTTTGTCCGTCCCAACTTGCTGGATGCTGTTCGATTTGGCTTAGGTATGGGTGTGTGTGGACCAGTGGCCTTTGCTGGGGACAGGTCATTATGGCTTGGGTCTGTAAACAGCTGGGTAGCCTGCCTGAGAGTTAGGAAACTTAATGTGGACTGACTTTGAGTGCCAGGGGTGGACGTAAAGGCAGATGAGGGCAAGGGCAAAGTTCCTGTCCCCTGCAGTATTGATCGTGTGTTTCAGAACCCTGGGCACTGCAGAGCAGCACAGAACTCTAGCATGTGAATGGACAGAACAGCGCAGGGTCAAGAGCACAGGGACTGGGGAAGCCACAGGGCACTTGGTGGAGAGGTACTGAGCAGGCGTCCCGACTGCCTGGGGCAACTGGAGTCACCCTGGACCCCTCTCCACAGCCTAGATCCAGCTTGATACAACCCTGAAGTAGGCTGTCCTGTGACCAGGATGCTCCCCGGTTATCCTGAGTCTTGCTATAAACACCAACAGTGTCCCTCTCATGCACCAAGAGTCTACGTTGGGACAATGTCCACGTTGGGACAGTGAATTTGGTGGCCCTGGCCATGACACCTGATCTTGCATCAGGTCTCAGGGATTCTGGCTCTAGTCAGAGCAGCAGCCTGTCCTCAGACACTCTGTACTGAAGGGGAGCCCATGGGGTGGGAACATGCACAGAGTCTTTTATTGTTGCTATTGCTACAAGTCTTTGAGAGGGTGGGATGTCTGACATCACAGATTGCAGAATCTGAGATCTGCAACAGGCCAGAACACTGGGGTGATGTGTGAGTTAGCTGTGGGCCTGAGAACCCCGGGGGTGGGGTGGGAGAAGTGAAAGGGTGATGAGGGACGAGAGTGAGGTTTTATATTTTATGTTCTATTTAAAAATTAAAAAATTCATTTGTTATTCTCAAGCGTATGAGTGTTTTGCTTGAGTATATGTAAGCGCATTCGTGTTGTACGATATCCACGGAGGTCAGAAGAGAGCACTGGATCCCCTGGAACTGGAGTAACAGTTGTTAGCTGCCGTGAGGGTGCTGGGAGTTGAACCCGGGTCCTCTGTAAGAGCAGCCAGTGCTCTTAACCACTGAGCCATCTCTCCAGCCCCTATACTCCATTTCAAATTTTATAATTTACTTTTTTTCACATTCAGTTACGTGAATCAATAGATTCCTCTTAAAATGTAACTTTTATTACATTTGATTTAATTATTTGTGTGCATGTGTATATATGTATGTGTGGGCACACATGTATATATGTATGTGTGGGTACACATGTGTATATATGTATGTGTGGGCACACATGTATATATATGTATGTGTGGGAACACGTGTATATATGTATGTGTGGGCACACATATGTATATATGTATGTGTGGGCACACGTGTATATATGTATGTGTGGGTACACATGCATATATATGTATGTGTGGGCACACGTGTGCAAGTCAAAGGAAAGCCTGTGGGAGTCTGTTCTCTCCTACCATGTGGGTCCTGGGGCTTGACCTGAGATGGTCAGGCTTGGCAGCAGGACCCTTTACCTACCAAGTCATCCTCTGTCCCAAATAAGTCCCTTTCGTTTCCTAAGCTTCTTTTCTCTGTTTCCTGAATGGCCCTAACACTGTGGGTCTGGATCACCTGTGATGGTGGGAGTGCTCCCCACCAAGCAAGCGAGGAGCCAGGACTCCCTCTTTTTTTTTTTTTTGAGACAGGGTCTCCCTGTAGTCCCAGCTGGCCCGGAACTCACTTTGTAGACCACGCTGGCCTTGAACTCACAGAGATCCACTTGCCTCTGTCTCCTGAGTGCTGGGATTAAAGGTGTGCACCATCATGCTCCCTCACATCTTAAACTCATCCCACACACAATTCTGAAGAGATTGAATTTGAACTCGAAAAAATAAATGTAGCCAAATGTGAGGCCAAGTGCACCTTTGGGTGCACGTGGCACCACACTGCTGCTGTTCCAGTCCTCGGACACATCGAGGACAGAAAGCCTTCATGGAAGCTTACGCTCTGCTGCTGCCCAGGGAAACACTCCTAAAGGTGGTGGTCATGACAGCTGCTCACCGTGGTCACATGTGTGCACTGGGCTCTGGGGCCTCACCTCTCCCCTGGGCCTTGTGACGTCAGCCACTGCAGCTCATCATCTGTCACATTCATTTCCAAGATGGCACCTGCTGTGGTGGCCCTGGCGGTGCTGGATGGCGGTCCTCTCCACAAGGGACCATGAGGCTAGTTCAAGGGCAAGGGTCCTAGGGCTCAAGAAGTGGAGACTGGGAACCCTAGAAGTCACAAGCCCGGTGAAGAGTCACTTCCGTAGAGTTCGCTGGTCAAGCAGCTCATAGGCCGGGCTAAGCAGATCAAGCCTCTGCCTTTCAAAGGCAACTGTATTATA